CTTCTTCTTCTTCTTCTTCTTCTTCTTCTTCTTCTTCTTCTTCTTCTTCTTCTTCTTCTTCTTCTTCTTCTTCTTCTTCTTCATGTTCACCATCGATGAACTCCGGTGGAAAGTCCTGCTCGTTCTTTCATTTCTAGTCACTAGTCAGGTTCCAGAATTTGAGTTTTTATTTGTATGCAAACTGTTGATTCCTCGCCTGTAAGGCAGATACCCCCCCCCCCCCCTCTCCCGACGTTCAAGGAGTCACCCCTTGTTAGTCGCCTTTTATGACAATACTTTTTATGGGAAGTGGGCACCAGTTTTGTGTGTGTTTGTTTTTGTTTCTTTTAAATTTAAAAAAAAAAAAGCGCTTGAATACACGTAGTGAGGATGGGTAATGAACCACAGTAGCATTTCGCTGGCCTACGGGAGGTATATGTTAGTTGCGTATTATTTACAGGACAATTTTCTATGAAAATTTACGTCCAGTAGTTTGTTTGCCATTGCTGCTGGACGGTCGGCTTTCTTGATACCACTGTAGAAACCGACGCAAGGCGCATGGCCCGCAGCTGGAATCGAACCCGGTATCCCGGCATTACGAAGCGTTCGCATCGACTTAGCCACAGAGCCGACACGGGAGATATATGCCAAGATATTTGTTCACGCCTAAAGCGTATTGAGTATATACTGATAACCCAAGCTCGTGATGAACGCCGATACAGATATGCGGCCGCATGAGGCGGTGCCGTAAGTAGTAGGGCAAAAATTGCATCCCATACGGGGACGAATTATGCCGATCGTTGCTTCGCTGGCTGACTCTTTCTACCCCACTAGGACATCACACAAGCGATAAACACCCGATGACAAAAAGTGCCACCATGTGGATGAGGATCGCCGTGGAGAGGTCCTAGAAACCGCGTTCAGACATTTATAAATGTAAATGGCCTGCCTATATTGCGGCCCCTGGCAAAAGCCAGAGTGGGGCTTAATTCAGTCATGGACGGCAACGAATGAGCTTAACCAGTGACTTGAAGTTAAGTGTGCATTGTGTCAGATACAATAGTGTGATGCGAAAAATCATCAGTTTATCCATACTGTAATTGCTTACAGTCCTCACAGGTATTAGTAAACTCTCGAGAGATTTTTACAAGTTAACAATTTGATCTACATTAAAAAAAAAGGTTATGTCCCTTACAGGTTAGTAAACAACAAATTAAATCAGCGGTTATTTCCCTTAGCTAAATTTGCAATAACTACGACCGTCTCCCGCTGAAAAGGCGGCATGAATAACTTATCTGATCAGTCAACATTCGTCATCCCCTCTTGTGGGATGCAATTTTTCGTAATTTTGAAGTTCCACCCTGGCTGTTGCCAGGGACCTCAATATAACCTAACGATTGAACGCGGTTTCCGGGACCTTTTTCACGGGTGATCCTCATCTGCATGGTGGCACATTGTGTCAAAGGGTGTTTATCGCTCTGTGTGATGTCCTGGTGGGGTAAAACTTTACTTACTTACTATCCGATGAAACTATCTACCGTTGAAATACAAAGATTGATATGTTTAAAAAATAAATAACATAACGCATTTACTAACACGGTTAAAGATTTGTAGTATCATAGGCAGGCACATATACTAGGTAATGATAATATGACACAAAAAGTATCTTGAGCTGAAAACAGGACGGCGGGGTGGGGGAGACTTATCCCTTGTAAATTTTAGAGGGGCTAAACTCCTTACCACCCCCGTTGTAGATAACGTGCACATATTTCAAGTTATTCTCCACCCTCCCCCCCCACCCCCCCCCCCCCCCCCCCCCCCGTGCTTAGGCCTTCTCCTTTGAAGTATTTGCTGACCTTAGTTTTGAAATGAAACGTCCGCCTAAATGCGGATTTGAACTGTAGGCTGACAGGTGAGCGCCCAGCAGCAAGACAAATATAGTTCCGCGTTGGTAATAGAGTCGGGAAGCAAGGATTCCCCTGCCTTGAGGAGTTTTTACCAAAAACTTCGGAAGCTGGGGAAAAAATTGAGCTATTAAACTTAATCATGCAATGCGGATCTTTTCTCCAGACCATTTCAGTGCAGTGGGTAATGAACAGGCAGGCGGATTGGCTGGATCTGCACCACTAGGTAGTGAATTGATACATGACAAGGCAGATGCGATCAAGATCTTTTGGGAACAAGCAACGGAATCAGTAGAGAAAGAAGATTATTATGGCCTGGAGATAATGAGGCCCTTGGGCGTAACAAGAGGGTATAGCCGGCTAACCAAACTCAGAAGAAACGCAAGACGGACATATAGCCAGATTGTGACCGGGTACCATCAGTATTGGAACTCTGTGCTGGCTGCTGTGAAGATGAGGACGGAGCACGTATGGGAATGCCCCGTGTGCTAGGATGTCAATTCTTAACTCAACTCATCTCAACACGCAGTGCGGAAGGATCCCTTTCAGTTGCACTAGCCAAATAATGTAACCAGTTTTCACCCATAAACTTCAGTAAGTAAAACTGCTTTTGCATGCCAGTGGCGCATAGAACATATGAGTCTAAAATCATACTGTTAAAGGCCAATCGGCTGAGGATGGATGATGGGGTCAAAATCACACCGGTCGCCTTTACTTCCCAAAACTTATTCTGGTTTTCTTTTAGGGCTGGATCGACATGGAAGCCAAAGTCATGTTTGGAAAAAAAAATCGACATATCGTGGATTTGAACCCATGATCTTCGGATGTGCAGGCGAACGTTTAGCCATTATACCAAGGCGGCTACTAATGACCTTCAGTGCATTAGCCAAGTGGCTTGACCAGTTTAACAGCTCTTCAGTGCACCAGGCAAATGGCCGGACCAGTTAAACAGCTCTTCGGTGCACTAGCCATTTGGCCTGACCATTTGAACAGCTCTTCAGTGCACTAGCCAAATGGTCTGACCAGTTTAAAGACTTTTCAGTGCACTAGCCGAATGATCTCACCAGTTTAACAACTCTTCGGTGCACTAGCCAAATGGCCTGACCTGTTTAAAGACTTTTCAGTGCACTAGCCAAATAGTCAGACCAATGTGGCAACAACTCTTAAGTGCACTAGCCAAATGGTTTGACCAGTTTACCAACAAATCTTCAGTGCACTTGTCAGATGGTTTGACCACTTTACCAACAAATCTTCAGTGCACTAGTCAGATGGTTTGACCACTTTACCAACAACTCTTCAGTGCACTAGCCAAATGGTTTGACCAGTTTACCACAGAAAGTTGAGCTGTAATAGTAAAGGTGAATGAAATCTTTCAAGCCACTGGTACAGAGGGTGTATGGTTACAAATTCTTGTATACTAAGATTTATGCACATATACCAGCAGCAGAAGCAGCAGCAGCAGAAGAAAAATAAGAAAAATAAGAAGAAGAAGAAGAAGAAGAAGAAGAAGAAGAAGAAGAAGAAGAAGAAGAAGAAGAAAAAGAAGAAGAAGAAGAAAAAGAAGAATAAGAAGAAGAAGAAGAAGAAGAAGAAGAAGATGAAGCAGCAGAAGCAGAAGAAGAAGAAGACAAAGTAGTAGTAGTAGTAGTAGTAGTAGTAGTAGTAGTAGTAGTAGTAGTAGTAGTAGTAGTAGTAGTAGTAGTAGTAGTAGTAGTAGTAGTAGTAGTAGTAGTAGTAGTAGTAGTAGTAGTAGTAGTAGTAGTAGTAGTAGTAGTAGTAGAGGAAGATTAAGAAGAAGAATAAAAAGAAGGAGGAGGAGAAGAAGACATCTCATCTATTAAATAATAAATTTTCTGAACATTGTCCAGTGTAGTATTAAGGTTGTTGCGTATCCTTTACAGGACGTTGCAGAACCAACCCTAACAGCCCCTGGCTGTTGTGTGGTTTCTCTAGGCAAATTTACGTCCAGTAGTTTGCCATTGCCTTCTGGACGGTGGGCTTTCTTGATACCACTGTCGAAACCAACGCAAGGCGCATTGCCCGCAGCTGGGATCTAACCCGGCATCCCGGCATTACGAAGCGAAGGGTTCGCATCGACTTAGCCACAGAGCCGACAGTGTAGTATTAAGAATGTTAAAACACTAAACAGCGTAATAGCAGTTGTTTCCTTACTGCTATCTTTTGTATGCCAGCAAATAGTTGTGTTAACATCAAGTCTGTTGTCCGAAAAATTACGCACGGTTAAATTTCCACTGCAAAAGAAAATTGCAACCAGACGCTTAGTCGAAGTACGTAGCACTCTATTTACTGCAATCTAAAGGGAAAGCACTGACCACCAAATTTGGAATAATTTACTTGCAATGACAAGTCTTCCTTCCAAGACAGAATCATGACCGATAATTGATGAGTCTGAAAGGGGCACTGTTGGGAATCACAAAAATGCCTTGGTGAATTTTCAGTTTACGGAAACATCCCCAAAGTACTTCAGGATCCTCGCCGGTGCTAAAGAGTTCGTGCATTCCGCTGATATTCTTACTACTCAGTCTTGAGTTAAAAGTAGAACGGAGCACTTATGGGTTACATGACATTGTTCAATTGTATAAACCACAAACCATTTCCAATCTTAAGTCGTATTTGTGTGTGTGTGTGTGTTTTTTTTTTTTTTTTGGGACTCAAGATTTTATGTTTTGTACCGCGTTTTAATTAATTGTAACCTGAGCCACAAATGGGCGTTTTTGTTGTTGTTGCAGTAGCACAATATCTGTGATTGTTTAAAGGACAGGCTTCGACAATCTACGGCGCATGTGCCATTCGTGACCCAAGGAACGATTTTTCATGGCACGATGAATGAAATGATACAGAGTTTGTGGATTCATTTTCATTTTAAATAGAAACATATGTCTTTTAAATATCAAAATATTGTCTCTCGATAATTATTGTACATAAGAAAAAAAAAAAAGGTGGACTTGAATTGCCGCAAGGAGGGATTTTGCACAATTATATATCCACAACACTGTTAGAAGTTTTTCCCCTGTGTACTGCTGGTAAAGAGAGCTTAGGCGTAAGCTACACTGAAAAAGGTCATGCCACAGACCTCTTCAGCGCAGCAAATTAGCGCTAGCAAGAGGACGGACTGGAATCACTTTCGCTTGGGCGAATTAATCTATCTGTAGATTTCTGGTGGATACAAACGTTGATCCGCATATTGTCCTTCCGCGGGGATGTTTTCTTTGTGGTAGTAGCACAGGGTGATGAATTCGTAGAAGATATATCTGAGATAACTGGGTATACCCGCGGACCAATGGCGGCTCCAGCCGAACTCACTGAAGTTTGGCCGTTGTCTGACTCGTGAAGAGGAATTGGGGAGCTGCTGTTGTCGCTGTTGGTGAGTGGGACGTCAATGTCCTCAAGAACCAGATAGTTCCTGTCCTCCAGTAGAAGGTTTTCTATCATGACTCGAAGCTGGGTGAAGTTTGGACGTTCGTAGGGTTCTTCTTCCCAACACGATCGCATGATGGCGTACCTGTCAACGTGAACAGTCATATGTTACTCAGAATTTCGTTTTAAAATGTAGTATATTTGTGTGATATTTGATCATCGAATTATCTCTCTCAACCCTCCACCTCACTCTATCTGTCTCTCTTTCACCCCCATCTATCTCTCTCTCTCTCTCTCTCACCCATCTCTCTCTCTCTCTCTCTCTCTCTCTCTCTTGTCCCTGTGAAAAATAAGCGTTTGGAAAGGTCAAATTTGGGCCCAATTTCTGACCCTTTGAAAATAAAGTTTATTCCTTCGTTCTCTCTCTCTTCTCTGTCTCTCTCTTCTCTTCTCTCTCTCTCTCTCTCTCTCTCTCTCTCTCTCTCTCTCTCTCTCACTCTCTTATCACCACTACCTAGCCGACCATGTGTAGAATTAAACTTCATGTTATAAGTTGTCAGTCATGGTTCTAACTTCACATGATATCCCTCCCCCACCCCCATTATCCTCCATAACTGATCCATTCCTGTGTATGAGGGAAAATATTAAAAAATGCCCGTCTCTGCTACATGTGAGAAGTCAAACGATAGCAGTCCAGGCAAAATCCTACACCTCGCACAGGCATTAAATGCACAAGTTAGTCCTTAGAGTGACAACACCCATAGTCTGTCACTAGAATTGCAGTTCATATTTCATGGAATCGTTCATCTGTGACAAACCACCAGGCGTAATGGTTTTCCTGCATAAGGCATCCCGCCAGTAGTAGACATAAAACTTGTTCGTGTTTTTTATTCGTGGGGAACAAAAAGGGCCGGTACTCACCCTAATTCGTCTGATACATTAACGCACTCCATTTTAACATAATCCACTGACGAGAATTTCGCCTAAATAGATGCTGAAACCGCGTATCATAGCGTAACGCCTGCAGCCCCCCCCCCCCCCCCCCCTCCCACGCACACACACAAATAAAACTTCAACCCTTCACTTGTTTCTGGAGTGAGGCGTCGAGTCATCTAAAAGCGAAATGTTCAATTTCCAGTATGTTACTGTGATTTCGAAACGTTGTCGTAGTCGTCGTCGTCGTCATCATCATCATCATCATCATCATCATCTTCTTCTTCTTCTTTCTCTTCTTCTTCGTCGTCGACGTCGTCGCTCACCATTACAAAAGCTCTTCGCACCCTAAACTGTGCTTTATGACTAGGCTGCGAAATGTGCTTTTTCGGCCCGACAATTCTGATTTCAGAATATCCCCTATTTATGTATCTTCCAGACAACACTGTTATACTGTGCTATAGAGTGGCAGGTGAACATCTTATGGCGATGGAGAGTGTGACTAGAAAGACCAGCTGGCGTTAAGAAACGTCCTTCACAGTTAGAGGAACGAGCGAACAAACAGAGGAACGAATGAACAGAGGAACGAATGAACAGAGGAATAAACGAACAGACAGATGAACGAACGAACAAACGAACGGACAGACGAACGAACGAACAAACAGATGAACGAACGAACAAACGAACAGACAGAGGAACGAACGAACGAACGAACAAACAGTGAAACGAACGAACGAACGAACAAATAGAGGAACGTACGAACAGAGGAACGAACGAACGATCAGAGGAACGAAAAAACTAACAAACATAGGAACGAACGAACGAACAGAGGAACGAACAAACATTATTTTCAAAGGGGTTTGAACTGGGCAGGCCCATCTTACATTCTGCCCTTCTGGCCTCACTTATTATTTCAGGACCATTGTTGCTGTAACATGTATTTTTTTAACGGGCTTTCCAAACGCTCAACTCTTAACCTGTCTGTATTCATTTGGTTCGTTATCCCCATTTCCCCCTCCTGATTCCCCCATTCTTAAAATTACCAATGTTTCACTTACAGTTCTTGAGAACAGTTACTGGGTCGGTCCATTCTGTAGCCGTTAGAAAGCACGTAGTAAAGATCTGCCAGCGCCACGTTGGGATAGGGAGAAGCGCCTGTAGTGAGTAAATACATTGAAATATACATGTTTAAGTGGGCCCCATACATAGGAGCGGAATATTACAAGAGCGAGAAGGAAAGACAAGTTACTACAGCAAAATAATACGTTCATTTCAACAGCATTTTTTTTTTTTTTCGACAGTTGATACCTCTGTCACTTTCTCTCTGCTTGTCTGTGTCCTCTCTTTTTAGCTCTTTCTCCTCTCTCTCTCTGTCTCTCTCTCTCTCTCTCTCTCTCTCTTCTCTAATTCTCTATATATGATATAATATATATATATATATTCTATACTATATGGTGTGTGTATCTGTGATTTTATGTCTATACTTTATCTTCTATTCTATCCTGCATCATTGTCCCTGTGATTTGTGATGATATCTTATACATTGTTTTCTCCTTACTGAACTAATCTTCTCTCATAAAGTTATATATTACTCATAAATAAAATAACATAAATAAATCTACTACAACTCAGTAAAAATCTTGTGAAATAGTAATACTAAATTATGAAATACCCACCACTTTACTGACAATGTTATTTTCTTCGTCTTCTTCAAATTTATGCGGTATGGCGTTGCTAGTCATATCTATCCACAACCTTCTGTCTCGTGCACTTTCAGTCAACTCCGACACAGGTGATTCTCTATGCCATGTTGTTAAACTGTCCAGAGTTTTCTCGGTCTGCCTCTGCTTCTCCTTCTTTCCAACTTTCCCACTGTTACGGTGTTTTTCCTCCTCATGATATGACCACATCTTTGTGATGTGGGCAATCATTTGTCTTCATGAGCCAGTTTCTTTCAGGACATCCTGTTTACTCCCTTTATCCATCCAATGTATTCTCATCATTCGTCTATAAAACCATGTCTACGCAGCTTCCAAAAATGTGTCATAAATCTTCTAACTGTCGATGATTCACTTCCATATATCAAGATAGCTTTTATGAGTTCTCTTTTTCGTCTCATTTGACAACGAAATATTACATAAAATATTCATTTGGTAAAATGCTACCTTTGCTTGAGCTATTCTGCATTTAACTTCTGTAATACATCTTCCATCTCATGTTATAAACATGTTTTGTACCAAGCTTTTCGTAGTTTATTAGGTTAGGTAGTTTCTTTATTATCTTTTAAAAACACTCCGGACATAGCCCATTGATTAACAAGTCCTCTGATGTGTCTGGTGTGCGCCTCGGTTTTTGCTATGCCGATGTTAAGTCCCAAGTCTATAATTTTAGCGAGTGATGTGAAATCATCCAAGTACTAAAACATATCAACTTGCTTTAGATTTGTCACATTTCTTCTCTAGCACTTAGTAAAGCACTAAATAACAATAAACTCTAAAATAACTTCACACGCCAAAGAGTGAAATGTAATTATGAGACACCCTACCCGTTGTGACAATTTGTCATAGTACTAAAAAAGTGCAGTAATGCAGTATAATCTAAACTTACTCCAGATATGATATAATGAGAGCTGACTATTAGAAGCCCGCCCATTGTGACAGTTTCTCATAACACTAAAAGGAACCATAAAACAATAAGCGCCGTGCTAATGTAGCGGCTAGACTCTTGTCTGCAGATCAAGAGGACTTGATGGAGCTTTTCCCTATTGTAGGGAAAACAAGAATAAACCCACTGCCTATCCAAAAGCATGTCGTAAGAGTCGACTAATTGGCAGCTTCCTTCGAAGCTGAGAGGCAAAAAACCAACAGTCTGCACATAAATGAGTCAGAGCAGTCAAACGCATGCACACGCAACACCCAGGTTCTGAATCCGGACAGCAGTCCAGAAGTGGACGAACAACCGGAATTATCTGCCGTAGTTTACATCTGCCGTAGTTTACAGCCGGTGAACACGAAGAAAAAGAAGAAGAAGAAGAAGAAGAAATGAACATGGCTCCCCGGTCCACCCAGCATTAAATGAGTACCACGTGACTGTGACCATATCAGACACCGAGTGCCAATTGGTCTATAAAGTATACGTTTAGCCTTATATGCACAGTGCGCTAGAAGGCGTAGTAAATGGTCTTTTACTTTATTCTTGCCACGAAACAGTCAACTCAACACTCGATGTGACTATTTCCCAATATTTGCAAAATGTACTTTGACGCCCACGGCAGGCGACTAGCCGTTTTACGGAGAGACAAGCGATATGAGATACAAACTAGGTGCAGTAAAGTCGATCCTTTGACTCTAACTTTATTGAAGTATGAGATCCGGAAAGGCTAATCCATGCAACAAATGCCAGCAGAAGTCAGATGTGCCAAACGAAAAGGCGCAAATATCGCAGCCATGTGGTAAATGGGTTCAATGCATTTACATTTTCAGATGAACGAAGAAGAGAAAGAAAAAGAAGAAGAAAAAAAAAGAAAGAAAAAAAAAAAAAGAAGAACGAAGAAGACAAATGAAAAAGAAAGAAAGAAAAAAAAAAGAAAGAAAGAAGAAGGAAAAAAGAAAGAAAAAAAAAAAAAGAAGAAGACAAATTAAAAAAAAAAGGAATAAACAGAAGAAACTATGAGATACACACCCATTGTGACAATTTCCCATAGCAAAATCCCAAACGACCACACATCGGACTGGGTCGTGAACATCCGATCTCGTAATGACTCAATGGCCATCCATTTCAACGGAAGCTTCCCGTTTGTGAGCTTCTTGTAGTGGTTGTCATTGAAGATGTCCCTGGACAGTCCAAAGTCGCAGACCTTCACCACCTTGTTGAAGTCGATGAGCACGTTCCGAGCCGCCAGATCTCTGTGTACGTATTTCTTCTCTGTGAGGTATTCCTGGAGAGATAAAAATAGGAATTAGGTTTTTAACTTATCTGGTACTAACTACCCAGTTGGGGAAAAAAGGGGGGGGGGGGGGGGGGGGGTAGAGACATAGCCCATCTGCCATCTGAGATCATGTTGTAAGAGGAAATTGGTTAGTGAATTGCTGTAGTCTGATGTGTTGGGCTGAACTAGGCCGAAAGATGCCAATATCGCACCTTAGCTATGAAGAAAAACTCAGAGAGCCAAGCTCATTTTTAAGGGCAAGGGCAGAATATGATGAAGAAGAAGAAGAAGAAGAAGAAGAAGAAGAAGATGGGGTGGGGGTGGGGAGGTGGGAAGGGGGGAGGGGAGAAAAGGAAGATAAAAAGAAGAGAAGAAGAAGAAGAAGAAGAAGAAGAAGAAGAAGAAGAAGAAGAAGAAGAAGAAGAAGAAGAAGAAGAAGAAGAAGAAGAAGAAGTAAGAAGAAAAAAAAGAAGAAGAAGGAGGAGGAGGAGAAGGGGAGGATCGGGAAGAAGAAGAAAGTAAAAGAAGAAGAAGAAGAAGAAGAAGAAGAAGAAGAAGAGGAGGAATAAGAAGAAGAAGACGAAGACGAGCGAGGAGGCGTCAGCCTCTTCAGAATTCCTGATAACATTCTTCTAGAGACAATGGTGAACAACAAATAGCAAAAGTTGATTTGGACCACCAAGGGAAACCCAGAATATGGACAGCAGAAAGGACAACCAAGGAAAACCCAGAATATGGACAGCAGAAAGGACAACCAAGAAAAACCCAGAATATGGACAGCAGAAAGGACAACCAAGGAAAACCCAGAATAGGGACAGCAGAAAGGACAACCAAGAAAAACCCAGAATATGGACAGCAGAAAGGACAACCAAGGAAAACCCAGGAAAGGGACAGCAGAAAGGACAACCAAGGAGTGTAAAATGGTTTTTGATACTAAGGGCACAAAAGCAGCAGATCGGCAGCAATGGAGATCACTCGTGAGTGCCTTATGTGTTTTTGTCCATTGTTTATTTTAGAGTAGAAATTAGGATCATCATCATCATCACACATCAGACATGACTATTAGCGCTCTGATCTCCTTCCTCTTATGTCTGCAAGTGTTTTTAAGCTGATGTGTCAGCTTCGAGTTTAAAAGGTTATACGTAACTACTACCACCAGTCTGCTCACCGCGAGCTGTTGGTAAATCTGTATACGTTACAATAACTTGGGGAGGAGGGGGGGGGGGGGGAGGGAGGGGCTCAAGGTGTCTGGACCATCAGGCTCGAGCACCTATGACCATCACCAGTGACCTCTGTATGTATGTATGTGTGTGTGTATGTCTGTCTCTCTCTGTCTCTCTCTCTGATTGTGTGTGTGTGTCTCTCTCTCTGTCTCTCTCCCTGATTGTGTGTGTGTGTGTATGTCTCTTTCTGTCTCTCTCTCTCTCTGATTGTGTGTGTGCGTGTGTGTGTGTCTCTCTCTCTCTGTCTCTCTCTCTGATTGTGTGTGTGTGTCTCTCTCTCTGTCTCTCTCCCTGATTGTGTGTGTGTGTGTATGTCTCTTTCTGTCTCTCTCTCTGGTTGTGTGTGTGCGTGTGTGTATGTGTGTGTGTCTCTCTCTCTCTCTCTGTCTCTCTCTCTGATTGTGTGTGTGCGTGCGAACGTGTGTGTGTATGCCCGCGCGGCTTCTCCCTTTATATATGCAAGAAGTATCGCTTGCAAAGATTGAACAGCCTTAAAAGTCTATTGTTAAGCACCAGCAAGGAGATACAAATAATAATTTTGAGAGCATGCATCTTCCCTGTGGCTACATACGGATGTGAGTCGTGGACTATCTCTCATCCTTAAGAAAGAGAATAGAGGCTTTTGAGCTGAAATAATTATCTTGGGAAAAGAAGATGAGAAATATTGACATCTTAAAAAATCTAAACATCAAGGAAGATTGGCTAATAAACAGCATCCTTTCTCGAAAGCTGAAATATTTTGGTCATATCAAGCGCCACGACGGATTGGAAAAAATTATAGCAGAAGGCATGGTATCAGGAAGGAGGGGTAGGGGCCGACCGACACGAAGATGGGCACAGGATATAAGTGACTCCTTGAGTATGAAAGTACATGAGACGGGAGAACTGGCAGGAGACCAAGTTTATTACAGGCAGACTGTGAAGAGAGCGACGTTCTGCAAAGGACCTGCTACATGATGATGATGATCGCTTGCAAATCCATACACACAAATTTGACAAAGTTGTCTTTTAGCAGTGAGCGATAACTCAGAAAAACGTTTCCCCCTATATGCCCCCAGCGCTATCAAGCTCACCGCAGTGTCGATCTCTCATACTGTTATCAGACGATACGAACTGGGGAAGATGATACATTCTGTGTCTGCGTCATGATATCTCTTTTTAGGGGGTTTTGGAAACATTACAACTGAGCCTGCGTCGGCAAATATTATGAATTAATCAAGTAACATAAAGTGTATTGATCGGCACTCATAGAAAGAAATAGAAAGATAGAAGAACACACTAGACAACATAAAAATCGAAAGCTATAGTTACCGTGCCAGGAATTGACCTGTCGCTTCCAGACGGCGAGTGCGCCTTGCTATGGATACAAGTGCACTAAGAACATGGTCAACTAGGCACCTCCAAATAAGGTGTCTTATTGGCCATGTCTATCGTACAGCTTGAAATCCACAACTATGGAATATGGACAGAATTCCTTTCAAACCATTAAAAATGCACCATAGTTTACAGAAATTTATATTAAAGGAAGCATATGTCGAATAACAATCACAGCAACAATTTACGAACACAGTAGACCGTAATGCTTTGTCTAGAATACACAACCATTTAAAGAAAGGTATTTCATTGGTAGGTTCCGGTGTGTATACGTCACTTCTATAAATAAACAGAGGGGGAACCTTTGAGGCTGTTGCGTATGCAAAATAGATCAATTAAGTTATACTACAGTGACGTCAATAAACCTTTTCAAAATGTAAGTAGTAAATGGTGGCGTGGAGTAGAGAATCGTTCCGTACTTTGGGCTGAGTTCAGTTGAGTTGATTCAAGAACCGACATCACAGCACTCGGAGCATTCCCATAAGCACTCAGTCCCCATCTTTAGCAGAGTTCTAATACCAATGGTGCCAGTAACATTATGATTATATGTTCGTTTTGCCTGGCTGACTTTCTACCCCACTAGGACATCACACAAGCGATAAACACCCGATGACAAAAAGTGCCACAATGTGGATGAGGATCGCTGTGGAGAGGTCCCAGAAACCGCGTTCAGACAATTGGCCATATTTATGGCCTGCCTATATTGCGGCTCCTGGCAAAGGCCAGGGTGGGGCTGTCTTACCTTTCCATTGAGCTTCAAGTATCACCCTAAACCACTCCTCACTCCCCGTTGCATCAGTAACTATCTCCAGACTGGTAATACATTTGCTTTGTCGAATTGTACACTTCAATACTTTAAGGCAATTTAGAACCTCACAGTTTTGAGAGGCTTGATAAATCCCTTTAAAGAAACGCAATTTTCTGTTAATTTATTTTAAATTGTGGGGGAAAAAATCAATTGTTACTTAGACACTTTAAGAGGATAATATAATATAATCTGTGTAAAGTTGTAAACACATTATTTATTATTAAAAAAAATTAAACGACAATATATTTCCATATTTCACATTTTCAAATTGTTATAATTAGTATTAATATTGGTTAGAAATATGTACAATTAAAGAACATTATAGGGGTTGTAACTAAGATGTTGTTAGCGATTACTTCTTTCAGTTGTTAAAAGATGCATAGAAAAAAAAAAAAAAAAAAGAAAGGACGTTGGTTCGTTCATACGTTATTTCTGTCTGTCTGTCTGTCTGTCTGTCTGTCTGTCTGTCTGTCTGTCTGTCTGTCTGTCTGTCTGTCTGTCTGTCTGTCTGTCTGTCTGTCTGTCTGTCTGTCTGTCTGTCTGTCTGTCTGTCTGTCTGTCTGTCTGTCTGTCTGTCTGTCTGTCTGTCTGTCTGTCTGTCTGTCTGTCTGTCTGTCTGTGTGCATATCGGCTTGTGTGATTTTTTATTTGTTTGTTTCATCTGTGTTCGCCCCTTAGAAGGGTGGTTTAAAAATCAGGTTCTGGTTTACAGCTAAGCTACGATATCTTTCTTTTTTTCGGCCTAAAATATCCGATTTTAACAAATCCCTAGTTAACATACCCTTAATTAAGAGACCTCTAGTTAACAGACCCCCAATTAATAGAACCCTAATTAACATACTCTAATTAAGAGACCCTTTAATTAACAGACCCCTGATACAGATCTATAATTAATAGACCCCTAGGCCACATACACCTAATTAACAAACCCCTAATTAACACACCCCTAATTAACACACCCCTATTAATAGACCCCTAATTAACAAACCCTTAGTAGGAGGCTCCCTAATCAACAGACCCCTAAATAACGACCGCTGTTCAATACAGACCCCTAATTAGTAACATTTTACGACAGGTGTGTGAGAAAAGAATCAATGGATCTGTTCTCTTTCCCTCCTCTCTCCCTGAACCTAAATAAAAAGCACAACCAGCACTTCTTGCCTTTTAGGCGGGCGCCCTGACTCTTGCGGCTTGTAAGATGAGATCAAGTTCAACACACGTGCAGTCTAAAATAGACACGAAACAAATGTTTTCCTGAAATGTTTATCAGCGACGATTATGTCGTTGAATACGTCGCTGTTGTTAAGTTGTTCTGACATTACTAGCTGCCAAAGTCTGGTGTTTCGGGGAAAAAACTCCTCTAATAGAGATGTTTAAATTTAAACTCTTTGTTTCTTCTTGTTCTATCTTGTTCTTTGTATTGTTATTCTTTTTTTTTCGTGTTTCTTCTCCTACTGCTCGTCATTCTCCTTCTCCCCCTTCCCCTGCTTCTTTTCCTTTTTCTTCTTCTTTTCTTTCTCCTCCTCTTCCTCCCCCACCTTCTCAACCTCCTCCTCCTTTTTCTTCTTCTTCATCCTCCTCCTCTTCTTTTCTTCTTCTTCTTC